GACTCTTAATCACGTTTCATTATCTGGGCTTTTCTTTTAGTTGTCATTGTTGCTTTTTTCAGAAAAGACTTGGTAACTTTAAATATCTCAGCAAGAGTGACATTAAACAAATGAACCTGATGTACAAGTGTAGCGGCGGAGGTGGTGGTGGTGGTGGTGGTGGGGTCAAACCTCCTCCTCCCCCTCCCCCACCAGGTAAGTAGAATCGGCGTTGATCGACAACATTGAATGACAGTCAAGCTTAAACATTCTCACAGTCAGGACATGATACAAAAAAGGGGGAAAAGATACAAATAGACTGAAGTATCGAACTGATAGACGTTAAGTAGTAATCTGAGAAAATACATAAAAAAAACTTATTTTCGTATCAGGAAACTGTAAGGACACAGGAAGGCATTGCTCTTACCACGTACCAAGAGGCGATTGCAAGAGAATGCAGATCGTCAGRGAAAAATGCAGGAAGAGCTGTGGCTTGTGTTAGGTGAGATAAATATACATTAACACAACACAACACATCCACAAACACACACGCACAAAAAACATGAAAACATCATATCCCATGACATCACATTAAAGCAACACAATTAAATGAGTAGTTCATATTAATAATAACTCTGCCACAGCGAACAACAATGATGACCCAACACTGACAAAGAATATAAAAGCAAATAAAAAACACAACGCAAGCATAAATACTGGTAGATTGCACCTTACACATTTTGGCTTTATTTATTCGATGATTATATTTTTAAAAATTTACCAATAATGATATATAACAATTACTAATAGTGACTTGGGTTTTTTTTTTCTAGATCTATAATGACCACATGAGTAGTGCCGTAATGATTTATGTGACCCTAATCTATATCATGAATAAATCTCTACCAATGGAGTCATTTTATGATATAATTTCTTTATGTTTGTAGTTTCATGATGTCATTTCTTGATGTTTTTCCAATATAWCTTTATTTCATTATTTATATTGTTTGAAGGGTTATGTAATTTGTTGTTGGTTGGTTGAGAGCAAGCTAGTTGTCTTCAAACATTCACCACTATTCAAAACCACTTGATTGTCAAGCGATGGGTTTGTGGATCTTCTAGATCTTCCAAGCTCCCTGTCATGAGGTTTTGATATCTTGTAGGAAGTGTTCTCAGAGCCCCTTGAAATTGTTCTTAAAACCTTTGATGTCCAGTCCCAATAGCGCTCACGGAACTCCCTCGGAACGATCCCGTAGACAAATGGATTGATACAACAGTGAACGAGAGCGAAGATATCCGAGTAGTTCATGAACATGTACACAAACTTCCTGATCGAAATACCACCGAATTCAAACATAACTGAGCCAATCTGTAGAGGCATCAAAAACAGTGCAAAGATCACAGAAATGATCGCAAGTGTTATGATGATATCCCTGTTCTCTTTTTTCACATTCTCCCTTTCCACTTGCCCTTCGTAATGTTTCAGATTGTGTCCTATTCCGATGTACGCAGCGCTGATGATAATTAGAGGAATCAGATACTGAAATGCAAATAACGCGAACACGTAGGTTTTTCGTTGAAAGGGGTGTGTCCAGGCAAGAATACAGTATCGTCCAGTTGGTCTCACTACGACCATAGCAGGAGATAAAAGAAGAAATGAAGCAACCCAGAGACAAATGACCCAGATTATCATCGTAATTACTTTGATATTGCTACTCCACATTCTAACGATCCTACGATATCTTATCACTGCCATTGATGTTATTGTRAAGATACTGGTAGTTAAAGGAACACTTAGCATCGGGTAAAAGTTACAGAAACTTGGATAAAGGTTACCTGAGAGATTAAATCATATTCACTATTAATCATCTGTAAAATAATATTTATTACACAAATCATAAAACGTAATGAGTATTCACAACATATGAGCTTAGCCGTATACCATCAACAGTTTTCTCAGTTTACCTTTCCGCTAGAGGTGAAATGGAAAAAGGGAATTTTGCTCGCATTCAGAATAAACTACGATAAGACTGGCACTAAATTAACAGTCTGTCCCCACAATGATTCCATTGAGGGACGATAAAAACCATTATGTTTCTGAAATATAAAGTTCAGACTTGTGCAATTTGTGCTGAACCTATGACCACACTCTTGTGTATAGTTGACTAAATGACGGACAGTAGAGAGTGTACATAGCTATGTACAATGTACGATTTTAAATTTTAAATTCAAGTGATAAGTTTATTCAATCAATTTATTGACTTTTACCTGATAAAAGTGTGAAATGAACACTAACGTAAGCCCAGATAGTTGTCATATCGGTTACTGCTAAGTTGGCCAACAAGATCCGATGATCTGTCCACTTACATCCTTTCTTAGTGAACAGAGCTATAAGTACAATACAGCAACCAATTGTTCCTAGAATTAGACAAGTTATGTAGATCGTCAGTCGTACTTTGCCATCGATTGACTCCAAGGGAATGATTTTTGTAGTGTTGTTCGACATGATATTGCAGCATAAAACAGTTGATAATTTATGTTGTGGGGGGGGGGGGGGCAAATAGTTTGCAGTGTCTCTCCTTTTCTGCTGTTTCTGATGTTATTTTTCGATTCTCGTTTTCTTCCTCTTTCTTCGTCGTCTCCGTCTGCTGCAGCTTCTCAATTCAGCCTTGTTCAGCTACTTCGTTTATCTCGTCTTGATCTACTATTTCCTTATTTCGTTCTTCCTTTTGTTGGTGCTCCTCGTTTTTATACTTTTTCGCAGCTCCTCTGACGTACCGCACTTGTATGTACTTGTTGTATATCTAGATAAGCTCTAAAGCAAGTGTGCAAAGTAATAGATCAGTTAAAAAATATCCAAAACCAAGAGAAGTACTAAAAGTGAACATCAATCACATTTGACACTTGATGGTCAACAAAGAGTCTAATAATTGCTCGTTATGACATAGAATTGACATTGCTACCTTGATGAAGGGAACACCCAAACTACCAAGAAGTCAACATTCTCCTTAGTATTGATTAAAAAATATATGAAAAATCTCTCTTAAAAGGAAGCGAAAAAAATAAACAATAATATCACAACACAAACCTTCTACCAATCAAGAGTTATCAATAGTCGATGTTTTGCATGGTCATTACGAAATCATCGGAAGATAACAGTATAATAGTATTTGGTTGTCATGGGAATGTAGAGTAAGAGTTGCGAAATTATTAACACTTGAGAATATAAGGGTAATATAACATAAGTAGATCTACGTGTTACCAATCGTCACTCAATCATAACATTAACGATTTAACTCATCCATTTGGTTGCTTGAATCTTTGCTAGGCCATTATTTACTTATTCATGATCCTATATTCCTTCAATCGATCGAACATCAATCCATTCTCTATTGTTTTATTAAATCGGCACACTTCCTTCCTTTTATCCACATTCATTCAATTTCATTTTATTATATTTAATCAATTAATCGATAGAACTTCCACTTCTACATCCACTGATTCTCTAGTCTCTAATTAAATCAGAATCCTTCCGTTCAGCCACTTCCACTCATTCATCCTATCCGTTTATTCATTCATCGAATACTCATTATAATTCCTTTGACGTTTCTTTATCTCTTGTTCTGATCTCATTCATTTATTCCGATTGCTAGTTGCGAAACACTTCAAGAGCGTTCTGAGTGAAGTATTCACTAAAATTTCACAGTTTGTGAATACGTAATATTAAGATTAGGCCATTAACGGATCTCCGATTATCAGTGCTTACCTGCTTGGTATTTCATTCTCTTCCAAATTTTTCCAATATCGCGAGTGAATCTAAGTTTATGTGCAACGATAAAGCCAAAAAATAGGGTAGGAGAGTTCTTGATCAATGAAAACCTATTTATTTCTAAAAGCGTAAACACAGGAAGCACTCAGCAGTCTCTTCAAATAAGTCCAAGTTCAAGCCTACGTTTTTTTTTTATTTGCCTAAGGGCAACTCAGTTACTTCTTTMAATTTTGTTTTCTCTTGTGACCTTTTCGTTTCTTTGCTTCCTTATAACTTCCCTCTGCCTCTCACTCCGCCCAGCTTCTTTTAATCCCTAGTCATATTTTTCATACAATTATCCGTCATCAAAACGTCTCATCGCTGAAGTCATACCGGAAAATCGATTTTGACCAGTCACAGAAAACASTTTATGTCAGTTTATGAAAACAGTAAATGTCATCGGTTTCACTGGTTGCTTTTAACATGACAAGATTCATYTACTGTATATTTTAGTTCCTTTTTGGTCAGTTGGTTTCAAGTATCTAAAYGTGTCTAACGTAAATGTGCAAAGATTCGTTTATGCGATCAAAATTAGGTTGACTTACCCTTCGTGATATCAAACTCCAGACTAATATCAGTCATTATTGGCTTCCTCGTTTTCGATCGTAAAGCAAGATACGACGTGAAATTCTTATTTTGTTTCGAATTCACATGAATGAGACCAATCTGTTGGTTGGTTAATCAGTTGTGTTTCACTGACCGCATGACCACCGATGGTTTAACTATACCCCGCACTGACTTGTTATATAGTCTACGTCTCAGCTTACTCTATTGTCGGGTTACAGAAAGTCAGACAAAATGGTAGGCTGCTAAGGAAACTACACCGATGTAACTAATTCTCTGAAAACAGACCATTTTGACAGGATTTTGCATTATTCTCAGTCCGTAAGAATTGAAACACAACATAAAAACGTTACACAAACGCGCAGTTAGTGTAGAGTAGACTGAATGACTAATTTACCTTATTTTTTTTCCTTGGGCACAATAACTATTTCTTAAAAGCATTGAAAGACCAAAACGTAATTAAATCAAGCCCTGTAAGGACTCSCTTCACCTCTCTTAAAACAGTCTTATTTGCAATTTCATTTTCAGATGAAAATTAATTCCTAGAAAATTGAAGATAAATCTCAATAGAGTGCAGATTAAAAACAGCACTTATCAAAAATAGAGTATTATACCTTAGTTAAGGATTCCTGAGTGGAACAAAGAGGTAATAACAGCTGTGGGCTCTCTCTTTCTAATTAGTTTGCAACCTCGAACACTCCTTTTCCTTGAAACAGGGTTATTTTTCTCGCTCTAATTGAATTTCCAGATGTCCTTAGTAAACACGGAAGTCGGTGGAGAMATTTGGCACTCCTATTATTTGAAACTATACTCTTTTTGACGATTCAAATCAACATTTGGACGTTGTATTCAGAGGACGAGGAAGTACTCTTGACATTATGAAAAAGTTAACATGTACTGACGAGTTYTAGAACGTGTGATCATTATATCAATAATTAAATTCGTTCAGACTTCTCATACAAATAACACTGAAAAGATCTTTACATGTAATCGAATTATAGATTGTCGAATAATAAACCATGAGCTCACCATAGTTAGCTTTAGCGCGCATGAAACTGTCTTATTTTTGTGCTCTATAATGTCAGTAAAAACAATTTACAAAAACCGTATAAACACATTTTGTGAATCTGGGAAAAATGAATTAGATKAGGGTAATAAGTTGGATAGTAAAAGTAAATACTGTAAATAACGGTTATTATAAGCAATCATTTCGGTTGTAATTGAACATTATCCATCAGTTTATAATCCAAACTGCGCAAATAAAAATACGATCTGCGAAAACTCCGGAACTCGTCAAACTCATTAAAATGGTCATGTTTTGAGAGGTAAAGCAAATAACGTCATCCTACGGGAAGCGATCAATTTAAGCCAAACACGTAGACAGACGATTGAAATCAGTCGAATCATGAGGAGCGATACAGCATGGAATACAACACTAAAGCAAGTCAAAACCRAGTTGCAATGCGTTATAAAAACAAACAACTGATGAAACCGAGGYGATAGTAACATCATGTAATTTAGAAACATTCATGAGATATTAGCCAATCAAGTCTGTTGATTGAGGTCATATGATTGAATCATGACGCGTAGCCTAATAAAGATARTGATGATTAAAATATCAGCTCTTCGACGCATTGATAATAATAAACTTTCCTTGCATGTACGATTTTCAAATATGACTAAAACGTAGTACTAAATGTAGTGAAAATATCAGTATTAAATCAAAGATCATTTMATTGGTTTTGCAGACAAACGGATTTATTGACAACAAAAACCTTTTTCTCAATAATAAGGGTAGACARTTTTGTTTGATAGGAATATTTACAAAAGGAGGCGAGGTTATTAAAGGACTGGTTATGCATATAGGCGAGTTAACACCTTCAAATCTTATCGATGTGAACATCTAATTATTAGGAAACAGTTCTGTGAGACAATCATGTAACTTTGTTTGGTTTGAGTCCAAGAGCAGCACTGCAAAACAAAGCTGAATCAACAGAACACCGGCGACACGACATAAGTTGGTGACCAACTTATGACGCGTCGCCGGTGTTCTGTTGATTAAGCTTCGTCATGGTTGTCACTTTGCATGTAATTCAGTTTTAAATCACAAACGAAAAACGACAAAAAAGGACAGAAAAAAATTAATCAATTACTGCTGAACGATTTGAGGCAGAAATAATTAAGATATAATTAAGACATTGTTTTTTTTTATATATTACAATCTAGGAAAAAGGGCATGAAATCCATACGAAGTGAAAGAAAAGCTAAGTGCTCTTCACTTTCATGCCAAAAGTACATGCAGGACTATAATCAACATGTCACAGCGAACTGCGTCARTGTGAAATATAACCGTGTTTCAATTCAATACTCATTAACTAGCATGATTATCGATATCTATATTCATAATTTGGTGAGCATTTTGAATCCTATTCTAAAATATTGTTGACTTACCACGTAGTTTCATGTAAAATATTCAATTAATATGAAGTCCAGTGAACATTTAACTAACATCTAATCGACGTTATAAACAGTACTCATAAAAAAATGAATATTCATTTTTACCAGTGATCTGTAGTGTCTATAATTCTGGATTAACAGATTAATTTAAAGTCAATTTTCTGTAACCAGTTACAACTCCATATGAGGGAACATTTAATGTGGTATAATAGTGCAGAAGAACTAAACTTTTGATTGGATTAATACTCTGGCATTTCTTACCTTGATGTATCTGTGAAATGGACATCTGCTAGTACTGAGATGAAGCAACATGAACTCGTTTAATTTTGCTAAAGAAAAAATGGAATTGGTTAGTCATTGTTCTAAGGTAACAATTCTCACGGCTATCGTAAAAAACATGTTCTGAAAAGATAAAAGAAACAATTTTGTATTGTTTGCTTTAATAAAGAAACCAAAGCTTGTTTTCACTTACCCTCAAAAACAAGGAGACGAAACTGAAAGAAAATCATATTATACTTGTCTGTCAGACGATTCATTCGGTCACGTGTCATTAGAAGTCCTAGTTACCATGGCAACCAAATGATATCCTACAACAAAGGACTTAAGATTYCCGAGATGTTGACGACTTGTTCGCCAAAAGAAGAGCTGAAGAACCGCATTGACTTAATATCGGCATAAACCTCGATATCCCTAGTCAGAACACACAGTGCGAACCCGTCATGACAAGAAAGTGAAGGAGTAGCGGCCCCTGGACCATTTATGCACCGCCTACGAGTRACGTAGCAATCAAACTTTAGTGGATATCGTAGTAGAACAATGTCTATGGTTAATGTTTTATACGCAAGGCATTGTATGATATGCTTGGGACAAAACATATCAGATTTCTTATGTTTTCTAAAGAAACTGATCCCACAATGCATTGGAAATCACGTAAGTGACGTAAGACGGTTCAGAAGTCTACTTTGTTCAAGGAATTTTATAAGCTTTTGGTACAATGAAATAAAATGTTTTTGGCCCTAAACAAAATATTTAGCAGTCATCAGAAATAGACCATCAAGCACCAGAAGTTTCTTTCTGGAGCAGAAGAGGAGAACAGAGGAAATGCCGTTGAGAAGTTCATTGTTTTTTTGTTTTTTTGTCATTTTTAATATTTTAAGGCGACATAGCTAGCCCATTAACATGCCTTGTTCTTGAGTGGACATGACTGAGCTATCTGCACTTAGCCTTCTCCAAATGCATCTCGCTTTTCCAGTACTTCGGGTTCCCTGTGGAAAAAGAGAGAGGGAAGAGAAGGCCCGCATAGTTACCGTATTTACTCGAATAGACGCCGCGGCGATTATTTCATTTTTCACGATCCAGCTGCGGCGTTTATTCGAGGGCGTCGTCTATTCGGGGGCGGCGTTTATTAAAAAGACACTTTATTCAGTACTACATACCGTACTTTATATTGTATCTTTTTACTAACAAACAGTAACGAATCTCAATATATAAATGTCGTGTTCATTTTGTCTATTCAATTTATGATTTTAAACTTCTATTTCAATATCAATGTCCTCCTTGTGGTCGGAATCTAACAGCTGCTGAGATCAAACRAGTACAGTCACTTCGAAATAAAAAATGCGGCGTCTATTCGGGGGCGGCGTCTATTAATATTTTGAGCTTTAAGTACGGCGTCTATTTGAGGGAGGCGYCTATTCGGGGTCGGCGTTTATTCGAGTAAATACGGTACTAGTCCTACTTTTACTGATCTAACACAGGAAGCCCGCTGGGTTTTTTTTTCACAAAGAAAAGACTGAAAAACATGAATGCCTTGTAACCAGCGTTCATAAGATGCCTTTTTTTGTGGAAACCGGAAAAATCAGTGAACCAGCAACAACCAAACGATGTGAGTGGACTGATTGAGTTATTTCTATGTGACAAAAATAGTCCATGTCGTCCATGCATGTCTTGTAAGTCAATGGGTCAAATACCCACTAGTATTAACATATAAGACCTAGAAATAATACCATGTTKTAAGGAAAGGGCGTCAATGACCTTTTTGCGCAATCACGTATGGAGTTTATTAATAACATGGCCTGTGCATACGTCCATCAATGACCTCGTTCACATGCAATGAACTTAATCATGGCAGAAATAGTTCATTGTATTTMATAAGCTGTGTATTATACTTAATATTATGAATGACCTTATCATAAGTCCAAAGATGACTTACGAGAATAATTGCCAGAAATCCATAGCATTTTAAAAACCATCAAGCTTTATAGAGTAAATCCACTAWTAATAAATGGATCATTCAGATTTGGAGCCATTATGGCTGATTGCATGGAATATGAATATGATATAGAAATGAAAGAAAGTTATAGTCCTTAGAAGTTGGCAATTCCGGGAGAAAGACCCTTAGGAACTATTTGCATTGCATGGAATAGACATGTGACCCTATAGTTCATTTTCTGATATGAAAGCCTTATTGTATAACTTGATAAAGTAAAAGATTATGGACTAATTTTGAGTATACTTTTAATCCTAGGGCTCAAAGCTAGAACGCTCATCAACAATGGAAGGTATTGAAAGCTAAGACTTGCCAAAAATTGGACTCTCTTTGAAGACTTTTGAACTCACAAAACACAACGGAAAATAAAAGTTTGAAAAAAAGCGAGCAGCATGACCGAAAAGWACTTATGGCGGGGAGCTACAAGGGGTTTTGTGAAAGTCTATTGAAACGGACTAAAACCAAAACCTTTACTTAGAGTTAAAAACTCTGATCGCAAACAATGTCAAATACGAATACGGAAAATGTACATTTTGGCAACACAAGTTTCATATCGGATGCCAACATTAATTTATGATGACCTAACATGGTCTTTTAGCTGCCGAGATTACGAAATGATCATATTTTTGGAGCTTCTGCAATATTCTGGCGTGAAGTGGGCAGTAGATCATTTGACCATTCAATGACGTCAAAAGGTACTTAATCGATCCAAGGTCAAGTACAAATAACTTGAAATAACAGAACTGTTTCAACACGATTTGAATCGATTGCGCAAAGGTCTTGCTATTTCTCGTACCAAACACTGAGTAAAGATATATCCTTGATAACGAATACCAATGCGTCGCATTTGATAACCGCTGACCTGCAAGARCATTGCACTGCTCAAGGACTGTACATTGAGAGAGCTCCAGAGTTTACTATGTGCAATAAGTCCCTATCAAAGAAAGCCCGGAAAGTCCCGTCGTGTTCTAGTGTAAAGGGTTAAACGATATTCGTCTCGAAGTACGATAGGCACGTGATATCCCTGTCTCGGSTTTTTCTCTGTTAAAGCATGTCCACTATTSACATCCCGATACATTACCAGTTGAAATGACAAAAATAGAAGACATCCACTACCGCTGTGCAGTAAGTGTACAACACACGGTGTTTGGTATCTTCACTTTCGTTTCGAGACGCTTAAATTAGGCATTGTCAACCATTAATCTACCATTAATCCATGTGGTAATAATGACAGTGTAATATCTAATACCTATAAAGACCTATAAAGCCATGACCATGCATGGTTCGCCTTTATTGATCTCTCATCGAAATGTGACATCAATGTAATAATACCTCAAGTATTAATAATAATATCAAAAATGCAAACTGAGCTGCGCTAGAGCAATTAAACTTTGCGCCGGATCCTCACACGAGTCAGGAACACACCCTTAGTGAACACCGCTACATGCAATCCGCATTTCTCCGACCTCCTACTGAACGTTAGTAGCAGTGACGAGAGTAGTCAGTTTGTATACTTTACAATTTTGTGACATAACTTTGAGAAACTGATAAGTTTTTTGCAGTACTGAACAGTTATTGTTGCTTTTGTCAGTATTTTATGTCAATTGGCTCAAAAGAGAGTCCATGCACACGCCGTTCAGTGGCAAAAGTGAAATCTAAGTAAATAGATTCATGCTGGCTGAGTTCTAAAAGCTTTTTTAAAACTATTCACTTGACGCCGTGTGGTGCACAGCTTAGAGTTTGAAAAGTTTCAAGTCCACTAGGACTCTACAACCCCTGTGGCTWCCAAGGGAGCCCCAWTGATTTGATGAAAGCTGAACACATTGTTGTATTGAYGGTGTTTCCAGTCTTTAGCCTGAGGCAAAGTTAATGACTCGAGTTCTTAGTTTTGTAAAGCCACCGATAATGGCAATGTAGCTAACCAATCCCTTTTAAAATCATCTATTAATGATTATTGTGAAATCCTATGATAAGAATRGCTGATAAAATTATCTCATGAATACAATTACCAGGCGACATTTTCGCCTTGAACAGCTGATAAAAACTTTGCCAAGATCGGTTATCAGATAACTATGTGGAAAGTGATTACAATAAACGCTGTGACACAGACCCAGTTCTATATAAGTGCGCTTATCTATAAAAGACGCAATTTACATTATAAAGAGTGMCATAAATTGTCCGCGGTGCTGAGAGAGTCCTGAGACGAACAGAAAGAAGCCACATYAGACGTCATGGGATGGGGGTCGTCCCTATCAAATATCAGGTCTAGGGATCTCAATGGCGATGAAGGAGAATGAAGATCCTAAGTGTACTTACAGAAGTGATTAAAGATAGAGAATTTCAAAACTGACCTTTCAAGAAATRAAACGTGACAATAGCAGTAATGACGCACGCTACCCTTAGTGTAGGAGACATAAGGGGAAATGAGTGGAAAACAGCGCCATGTATGTTTACTTGTCCAACTGTTTGAAGTGATAAGACGAAGAGAATCGCCCTAACAGTAATGAATTAAGGYTGATATAACCAACTTAGTAGAGTCTGTTCGGGTAATGACGCAGGCAAACCAAAGGATTTCAAGAGACATGAAGGAAAGACAGTGTKAACAGTGTAAATAAAAGTTTTGTCTACGTGAACAAGACTTACAACTAAATGAGAAGAAAAKGATTTGCGGTTTCCTATAGCAGAAACATTCAGATCTCTAAAACGTGACTCATTCATTTTCTAGTGCTATCTATGAATATAATGATTCTGTATTGAATGTGATAATATCGATGCTTCAGGCGATWGAAAATGATTACAAGTCCTTTGTTTTGCACGATCGTGATTCTSRTTCATAATCAGWATCGCCACTCATCTCATCTCAATATCRGTACTTCGAGTTTTGTCCCTTTTAAGGTGTGACGTTTTAAATAAATAAATTAMATTTTCAAAACGCAGATTTCAAGCACTTATTAAACATTAATTTCTCATTTGTGGTTTGTGGGAACAATAGACWGTTCTCAAGCGTTGCATTCTCGCCACGTTCTTTTCAGTCCCGTTCGTGACGTCTCACGATGTGCAGCAACTTGACAAGAAAACTGTTTCCTGAATGACAAATGTTTATTTTGARTTCAAATATTTAGTTTTACTCTTTCAAAAGGACTCCAAGACCGGAACATAGTTAAATTCACAAAGTGGCGCACCATCCCAAAACATTCAATTACATCCCTTATTAAAAACACTGAAATAAATACCAAAGAGAATAATACAGAAAGAACATACAGTTTCGTAATGATTTACTAAGAAACAAACAATTTAGTGGGCTAAGAGCGGAGATAAACATTGTCTATGAACCGGAAACAACGAGGTTGATATTAGACAAATGAACGTATGGAATGCAGAGTCTTTTCTTATCTGTGAACAACAAGGAAATTCATTAAGATCTAGACATCGTTTCTGATATAGCAGGCGTAACTTGGAYCGAAATTGGTATCGGAAAAGGATAAAATGTTTACCAATTTATGACAGAGCTGTAGATAGATATTTCCTGAAACTGTGGTTGCAGTCACGAGGTGCAGGAACCATATATATTAGTAGTACTATTGCACATCTTAGTTTCCAAAGACCAGTTGCGTAATCAACAGATTTAGTAGTGACAATATGTGTATTCAACCTTTGCCAAGGAATCAAGGCCGTTGTTTATTCATTGTGCTCGATCACTAAGGGCTTTGCATGCTTATATCAATATTGTTTATCCAAACAAAAAGATTTTGTTGACATAATTCCCACACGAAAACAAGTCTTACACAATTACTAAAAAATAAAAAGATGCTGCAGGATTTCTAGAGTAAATTCCATGTTTTTTGCTACCGTCGCGCGGAAATATTWCTTGCTTAGTCTTTTGGCACAAAACAAGCGTAGTTTTCATAGCTGCGGCATGTTCAAAGGCCTCGATGCAGTGATCATGAATGGGCTTTCTATTGGGTAACAATYAGATTAGYTCTATTCATGCAACGCGTCAATGAATATTCATCAAACGTGACGGATCCAAATGTCACCTTTATTGGCATTTTCTGATTGCTGAGCTGATGAAATAAAATACTTGGAGATYCAAACAAGTTTTTTTTTAATCGAGGGTCATACATCACGACTTTAGAATGACTCGATTTGAATTTCTTGGCTYTTTTCGATACGCGTCGCATTACATCATCGACTACGTAACAGCTAATCAAAGATGCAGCATATCACCTATAAATAGCACGGACGAACGTTGACAAGTTGACAGCAGGCGTTCATCAGTATAAATACGACGTGGATACCACAATCAATTGTAGCCTGACTTGCAAGAGTACAATTACACAAGGACTAAAGACTAACCYAKAACCATGAGACAGCCTTTGGAAGTTACTACAACGACATCTTCTCTKACAGGATCGATTCCTAGCCCTTCACCATTTACCTTTGCAAAGACTGATGCTCGTACAAGCTCTACTAGTTCTTCCACGATGTTCGACTAYGGTTCACCTTATCCTTTGAACCATTGTGTTAAACCAAGCACTGGACTCCTAACATTTGATGATTTAAATTTACTTTGTACGAATGTATTGGGACTTGAAGACAGTTATGTCAAAGATGATGTACTTGCTTCCCTTGTTGTGGAGCTAGGACTACARCACATTGATAAACTACCTGAACTCAAGGTTGGACATCATAATCTTAGTGATCAAGATGTATGGATCGTCAGACAAGACTCATAAAACAAGYACTAGTGCCATCTGATCAAACACATGAATGCATGATGCACRATTGTTGCCTGACTGCACACATATGCAAAATGCAACTTTGATAGCAATCAACGCTACAYGACATAAATTGGAGTTAAGTTTTGGATATTATTTTGTTTTTAATGACCAAAGAGTTCCCGCCAATATCAGCTGTGGTCCTATATCGCCCTTGAGCTATTGATAGAACGAACCTCATTGAACACGAGTGAACAACAATAACATTTATTTATTCAAGTGCCTCTGCTTCTGGTTTTTTCTTGTAATAACGAAACGGGAAGATTGTGAAGTCGATTTCAGTCAATAAGATTCCTGGTGAGCAAAACAGTATCTGTGGTTTCGCTGGTGATTGTTTGACTATCGGTAAAACAATGAACTTGACAGGAGATAGGTCACCTATCACGTCACATGTATATCTTATATATTTAAATTSTTAAAGTTGTGTTACAAATGAATTGCAAAACAGTTAAGATTGATATCACATAGAATTATATTTCCAAATAATGTATATATGTATAAAAAGAATGCGCAAAAATGTATATAGAGAGATATGAGTAATTAAAAACCTGATCTGCGATATTTTTGTCTCATATCTTTGAGTCATCATTGTATGTTATCTGAGAAGTTCTTTCGTGTATTTGTGTAAACACAGTCGACATCTTGTGCTTCAAGTGGAATAGATTTCATAATAAAAATTGTCAACCGGAAAGAAAATATTCCCGCGAAGATTAAAACCCGCATTTGGTTGTTTGAACGATGATTGACAGCYTCCGGTTTCCTGGTGTCAATAAAATCCTGTTTGTACATGACTACAACATCTTTATTTCTGTCAGACGAATWCATAGCTTTCGTTAAACTCTCGACATTCATTTCGTTTTTATTGAATGCTTAGGTCAACGAGAAGCGATTTATTTTAGTCTTATTGAGTCAGTGTRCAATSGATGACCGGGGGTCAATTTCCCGCGCCTCAACTATGCACGGAATGATCTCAAACTGACATATCTGATTCAGCACTTTTAGACAATCTGTTCCTTCCCTCTTGAATCATAGCTGAAATATTCCTCTTTTAACCTTCATCGTCAAATATAGTTAATCTCTCTTACACTTGTGGTTAAAGAAGTTTTACTTTCGATTCCTGGTMGGACCTGGGTGGTCATGGCGCGCCGGCCGACACGGCACCCATTGAAGAGTAAAAGATTGCTCATGTGAGCAAAGCATGCAAACATTCATTCTCAATCAACTGCATCTTTATAATGCTATCATTTTCTTAGCGTGAATAGCGATTTTTAGCATTAAGTTATTTCTGATGCATAACAGATCTACAATCTTCGTGCTTCGTGTATTTTAACTTGGTCGCGGATCAAGCCAACATGTTCTTTATTCAACACTTACTTCCCCCTTAGAAAGAAAATAAATCAAATTAAAAGGTTTTTGTCCACAGAGTAAATAGTATATGAAGCTAAAGAAATTCGTAAAGTCCAAACRATGATTTYAATTTAGCATTTTCGTCCATGCAATAATGTCCGTGTTCAGGGGTATGTAGTCTCCGGTATTCCCAGGGGGTCATAGACAACGTGGATACAACAAGCACAATGGACAATCAAACAATGCTTTGGTTCTTTGCCAGAATCAATTGACGACAAAGACATGTATTGTCAAGTGACGATTAACACAATGACGTCAATGCCGATCGGTATTCTCAGCATGCACGTGTATCGGCTTTTTTGCATACCGTTCGATGCCGGATTGCACCCCCAGCAACCATTGCCAACTGTCGGTATTTYTTTGTCGGTTACTCGTCCTTCTTGTCTCAGGGGACCTAGCAACTTTTCGGGGGAGGGGGACTTATTAGTGACAAGCTCTAAGTTTTCAATGCACATTTTGCCTGATAAAAGCACAATTTTTTCGGACGTGGCTGTTCATTGTCGCGSCTTTTGCGTTTCTTCGCAATAACCACCAGATAAACTCTCAAGTTGTCTGGAAGTCTGTACTCTCTAGAATGAGGCAGCTTTTTATCTATGTCASCCTCTTTTCAGTTAAAGAGATCAAAATAATTAAACTTTGTGYGTTATTGTTTTACAGATAACAAAGGTTACATGGAGAGATGTTTCTCTGATCAACATTGTTTACGTCAGCATTCATGACTACATAGTGTTGAGCTGATAACAAACCTCAAACAAAGATCCCCTTATTCATACCACGTAATCCTTATTCAGGGAGTGTTAAAAAAAGGAAAACTTAAAATAAACGGAAGCGGGAATACTACATGATTTGGCTTTCAGCCCGCTCAAAGGYCCTCAAATCATAAAAGGAAATACAGCACTTAAAACTACAAGAAGAAACCGAAAATACAACTTTTTCCGTTTATAAAGGTTCTAAACTATACGGAACGAGTGGTTAGCTAAAACTTCTACTTGCTTTTAAAGAGCAGTACATTAATGATATCGTTACTGAAAACTAGCAAGACTCTCACTTTCAGCTTTACCGTGCTAATGCCATTAATAAGGTACAAACAAGAATTGACTGCATCGATTAAAATTCATTAAGCATTTTGGCTTGAAATGTATTCTTCTAATCGGCCCACTTCCKTAGAGGAGCGTTTTGCATATCAAACCCGAGGAAAGTAAAGACARAACTTGTAATGAAATTAAGTGTATATATCTGGTAAGTAATTGCCCACGGGCGTGTCTGCTAAAGGTATTATAAATAGCCAGAGGGAGGCGGAGGCCACACTGCTTCCTGTAATCCTCGAACCACGAAAAGATTGCATGACTAAGTGAAATAAACTCAGAATTCAAAAAGTTTCAAACAGTTCAGTTTGCGTTTGCATGTTTCSACTAATTGCCGGAATCAGAAGTAAATAACCACTGGTTATTTACAACGGATATACAATAATATACAATTTACGGAATATACAACCGAATAAATAAGTAAAGAAACATGTGAGAAATTTTTCCCTCACATTAATTTGGCTATTCCATGAAATCCATGCAAATCAATAGCTTATAGTTTAGGTTTTCAGTAAAAAATTTTATCATATAATTATCTATGAAATACCTATATTTCTCCATTTCGTAAACTTGATATCTTCACAAGTGAAAATAACATGTTATTTTCACTAGTTAAAATAACACATTCGAGGTTTCTCTATATAGTGAAAGTAAGAAAAAAGCTACTTTACGACATAATTTGCTTTCGTATACAATTATATGATAAATAGAATATTACATGTTCGCTTGGAGATACGAATTTTATCTTCTCGTGTTGAAAATCTCTCACTCGTTCGCTACGCTCACTCGTGAGAGATCTTTTCAACACTCGAAGATAAAATCCGTATCTCCGCGCGCCCATGTAATATCCTCTATGTAATCAATTCATTTCTTCCCATATTATGATAATACTCTGTGCTTTGCAGTGACTAACCATGGCGCAGGAAACCCATTCACCAGTACTGAGCCCGCAAAATATCAGCGGTATAAGAAAAAATGGCGGGAAACTAAGAAGAAACATCCAAGATGGCGGCTGGTATAGGAAGTATGACTTTTGACGACGATTTAGCGGYCGATGGCTTTGRAAGCGGCCAAATAGATGAAATATTTRGTAGTGACGATGAGCTATTTAATGCTCCTGCTCCATTACCACCATTATCACCCACRAATATCGATGCAGRGGCGAATGAAGGAGGAGGCGAAGCTAGTRCAAGCAACGATGACAAAACAACGAAGAAAAAAGTTATAAAAAGATCTCCCCAGCCTAAACTGGATGACGTAAGGTTAGCTAACACCAAATTGACTTTTATTTCTCTAGTAATCAATAATATGTAGCTAATTTAGATCTAAGATTGAAAGCACTAAAGTCATAAACCTTTAGTATCRACTAAATTTTGCTTTCGCGCGGAGACAACAAGTCTTATTTTATAGCTCTTAATATGTATTAAAACTAGCTTACAAGTAACTTAATTCAAATCAAACTCAAGCGTATGATTAGTCGAAGATTCTTACCTTGAGGTTAAATAATCTTCTAGCGCGATGCCATCTCATTTTTAACAGTTTTCGCTACACAAACGATCTTGCCCGTCAGTCATCGTAGTGTTGTTGAATGGTTGGGATTCCTTTGTTGTGAGAAATTTGTCTCAAGTGAAATGTATTTGAGGATCTGCGTTATTTTTACCTTTATTGCTGTTTGTGTGCAGCTTCTGTGCCATGTGCAATGCATGTTTTATAGCACAATTTCATTTTCTTAGACTTTGTTCAGAACGAGGTATTCCTGCATTAGCTCATTTATGTGATGGTATCAAGTTCAAAGGCAAAGGACATGAGGCAAGTTATAAACAACTAACTATATTTTCAATGATGAGATTTATTTTTATAAGGCATTCTTGTCCCAAAATATTAATATGTTTTCCTATAAATCTTTACTTTTAGGCATCAGATTTGAATGTTTTGCTGCAGCGGTTTGAGCACTGGGCTCATCGACTCTATCCAAAGTTTCCATTTCAAGACTGTGTTGACCAGATMGAAGCTTTGGGGAACAAGAAACTTGTCCAGGTACAAGGCAATGTGCTTATAATAATAATAATAATGTTAATTTTTAAAGCGCTTTAACAGCTCAGATCTAAGCGCTGAGAGGAAAAAAAAATACATATAAAAAATTACAGGTTATAATTAAAATTTACAAATTAAAGGCAAGTTTGAAAAAATAAGTTTTAAGGCAGGATTTAAAAGAGTTAACACACAATATATCAATGATAAGTTAYCATTCATAGCCTTTAAATGTTACATGTTACTTGTCCTTCCCAAAGGGACTATGATATAAAATAGATCCTATAAAATTCCTGGCCAGTAATAACAATCACTTTACAGAACACAATCAAAGCTGTAMGAAGAGGGGAAACTGGAGAAATTGATGACAATAACACAGATGAAGAAGGTGAAGTCAATGGTAAATCATTCAATAATATAGCATGGTGAATGTGAAAATGATTTATTTCAAATTGATATGACTTCAAATGTCAGTTTGTTTATTGATTTGCCCACAATCCCTTTTGGTCTAGTCTGCGAGATCAGCAGATGATTTATGATCAGAAGATGGTATCTTTATACATTCTTAGAAGTACATGTAAATGTGATGTTTCACGGTTGATGTTTGTAGGTGAAAAGGACAATGATGATGTACAATCTGTTATGAATGATGAAGTAAGTCAAGAATCTATCACATTATTACTTGTTTGTATGGATTTTAACATAATCTCTTGGTTCTTTAGAACTTTGGAGAGCAAATCCAAATAGAAACATCCAAAACACCAGTGGTAAGCAATAATTGTTCTATTCAATTATCTCCTCCTTTTCCTATTTATCCACTTTGTTTCATTTCCATTCTATGTTTCATTGCCTCTTTAATTAAAGCCTTTGTCCATTTTGTGTACACCTTTCAGCCACAGCTTGGTCTTACCCCTGAACAACAAGAACGAATCCGGCTGAACAGGGAGAGAGCTTTAGCAAGAAGAAAACAACAGCAATCAAAGCTAGCATCACAAGATGAAACGCAATCACAAGCAGACGGTAAATTAGATTTATGTTATGAATGAGTGATATTTGGTTGATGCACCATCATCAAACTTACATCTTATCTGTCAGAAAACCAACCAGCATCATCTTGCAAGCCTGACGAAGCTTCTCAAGAAAYCACACTTCCTGATGTTCAAAGCCCAGAACGAAGCAAACTTTCATTTGAGAATGAACTTGAAGAGACCGACGAAACACGAGATGAAAATGAGACTAGAGCTGTAGAAGATAAAACTATGAAGAACAATGATAATGAAAGCAACAAAAACTTAACAAAAAGTGACGATGATCAGATGGAGACAGAAGAACTAGACAAAACATGTACGAACAACAATGAAAGCAAAACAAAAGAGGATGATGTTGCGTTAGCAGAAAGCATAGAAAATACAGAAACCCCAGAAAACGCAGACATTGAATCACTTAAAGCCGACGTTGATGTATCTATGGATACTGAATGCATTAAAAAGAGCACAGACTTGGGAGAAAATATTGACGATATTTCTATGGAAACATGAATAATGAAAGTTAATCAATGACACAGCTAGATTGTGCTAAATTGCGCTAGCAGTCCAAGGTCAAATGACTGATATTTTACCGGAGCCATATTAGGAGTAGTTAATAAGGTGCAAAATCAGTGATGTATTAAAATTTCTGTAAAAAAAGTTAGAATCATAATAAAATGTCAATGTTGATTGCGGCTGAGACGTCGAATGGATTCACGTTACGGTGGAAGATTTCCGTTTTCCCAATGATTTAACTTCAATTTAACTGTTACACCTGCAAGAGGGAAGAGAACCCTCGATCCCTAAACCAGCGATGGTTGATTCTTCTATTATCAAAGCTAAAATCGTCAAATTGTGCTTTTGGTAATCAGCAAATTTCCCACACTCTGTAGGTGTACATTTTGACATTTGTTTAACGTTGCGTACCATAAMACCGCATGACGTTTATTGTAATGTTCTGAGTATCTCATAACAATGCTATTGATTTGACACTAAGACTATTGCGATATAAACCGTTATTATAAAAAAACACCACAGGGAATCCACCCCATCCTGTCGTACACAGACAGTCCGATAAAGAGTTCGTATATCAATATAAACGTTCAAGCTTTGTCGGCAATTATTTTCCTCTATTTCCAATGAGATACATCTGAGAGATAGGAGTTTTTACTGGATTATACTTTTGAGTCGTTAATAAAGTAGCAGATTAAGATTGCGGGATTTTATTGAAGGAACAATGCCGACATATTTTGAGAGTGTTTGTCTATCCGTGGGCAACCACAGATTGTGGAAACCAATGTGGTTAAAATCATAGGTTGGGTAAAATCTGTTTCTAATTTACTAATAAAAACTGCTTTTAAAGTCAACAGTCTGTGTTTTTTGCAGCCCTTTTGCGGTCGTATTCTCGCACGTCTTTTATTTAATTTTTTCCTATTTTAATGAAAGTTTTTAATTAATACAAACTCTTTTCGTCATTGTTTTCAGAAAGGAAACGATTTTTTAATCTTTCAATGGGAGTAACAAATTAAAAGTGAGCATCCGATATCGACGACAGTCGACTTCAGTGAAGAATGTCAGGCATTAAGCGAAAGAAGCCTTCTAGAGAGGCGGGGTTACGCGATATCCACTACGAAGACGACCGTTCTCTGATTGTTATTGCTTGTTGAAGCGTTTGACGATCTATCTTTGGCCATCCTGCCAAGGGAGGTCTTATTACTAAAACTACCTGAATGAGTTCACAACGTTRTTTCAAGCTTCGCACATTCTCGTCAAGTTGAAAAAATCATGTCGTTGACGTTTTACTGGGCACTGATGTTGTCAGCAGTAACAATATGTACAGGTAAGGGTCAAAATCTAACACGATTAAAACTGAATTGTTCTTGTTATAGCAATAAATCTCACCTAYGATTACTTTCATCGGATTCGGATTCATTATCAAAGAAAGATTACCAGCCAGTCAAAGAACGTCAATACAGTAAACAACAGTTGTATATATCTAGTTAAGGACTTGTGATTTCTTGTTATAAGCTATGAAAGTATCTAAATAATAAGCTCAGCATGAACAAGATATGTTTATATATGGTAATGCGTAGGTGAACGAGACATCTTTCTTATGTCATATTTAAACGGGAGACAAAGTTTAACGAAAAACATAGAACTTTTTGACTTATTAGCACTCTAAATGACTACGTAGAAAGCAATTGCATCTTAAAATACAATGYACGTCACATTGTTCTTCATAATACCCTGGATTAACTGAACATTGTAAATTCTATGAATCTGAAAGCAAAAGTTTGGAAGTAATTTACGTATTAACCTTGACTTATTAACAAGGATACTGATTTTGCCACTTTTGGACCGATGGTGCAATTTATGAGCAAGACGAAATACAGCACAATAATGATCATAAATTCTAAGCTTGAATAGTCAGCAATTATCTCTTATCAATAAGTATCTTCTTATTACGATTGTATGTTTTTTTCCACTGCTAGACTTTGAGTCTAGCTCAGCTCAGAGGTTTCTGATTTTGCCGTTTCTATGCGAATATGATCTGTTTTTTGTTTTTGTTTTTTTGTTTAGCAAGTATCGGAAAGACATCTTTTCAAAGAAAGTACTCTTGGAAAGACTGATTTTTTTCTTGAACAAATTGAACAAAAACCATTAATGAAACGGTAATTTGTGAAGTAGTTAAGTACTTGTGAAAGTAGAATTACTGAGCTGCAGAATTGTTTGATGTRGTTTCCGTTAATTGGCAGCTTGTTTACATATAGATTTGACTTTAAGCTCCATATMACTCATTTATCTCTAACACAAAACACTAACCACGTACGTATGGATTGTACAACATTGATAGGGACTTTCTACGCGTTCACTGACATAAGTCCAAGAGTTGTAATTACTAGCTTGTTCTGAAATCTCTTTAGCAAGATTAATTGAGTGGATTACCCCTAATACATCGTTCGGGGAYCTGAATGCCCAAAGGTATCATCCTTGTTTATCGTAGGATTACACTCACAGCTTTGAATCATATCTGCACTAGTGCACGCGGCGTGTAATCAATAAATAATATCATTGATAAAATTCTCGTTAACCACGGTTCGGCTACGCGCACTCAAGCATTCCCAACATATCAATGACAATATTTGTTTGAGTRAAGTTAGCTTACTATATCAGTTCTTTTATCAGTGTTGGGATTTTTTTTCAGGACGATATGATTTCGATACTGAGCATGAACTCATTGCATATCTCTTCAAAGGATATAACAGCAATATTTGTTTGAGTGAAGTTAGCTTAGTTCTTTTATCAGTGTTGGGATTTTTTTTTCAGGACGATATGATGGCGATACTGAGCATGAACTCATTGCATATCTCTTCAAAGGATATAACAGCAATGCTCGGCCAGTCTTCAATAAATCTGAAGCAGTGTTTGTCAAACTAGATATTGCTTACAGCCAGCTCGTAGATCTGGTGAGTCAATCAACTACCATTCGCTTTTAAATCCATCGAAGGCTTTCTTACCGTCCCCCGTTCAGTGTTAGTTGTCAGGCCAAATTCATTCTTACAAGGAGGTACGGTTAAGGGGGAGGGACCAAGGCAATCTCCTTCTGTATTTATCCCTCCCCTTTCCCGTTTTGTTGTTATTGTTGTCGAGATTCCTTGACTAGGAAGCAAAAGACATCAATACAGCACCAATAAAAGTCTATAATTGTTAACAATATTTTATGTTTCAGGATGGTAAGAATCAGATTCTATCAAGTAAAGTGTGGATTAGACAGGTAGTCCACAAAATCATGTCCATTTGATATTGATTGCGGCCATGTTGGAGGAATAAACAATGCTACCAATGAGAAATCCTTTTTTGAAGTTTTCCTTCGAAATGGTCGCTGTGAAGTATAGTGAAAGTGAAGAATACAATATGTGCTGCTTTCATGATTAAATAACCCTAATAACTATTATACTTTACTTTATCTTCTACATTTTATATCTTGCTTTTAATAAGACCGTTAAATAAAGATGTTATTCKACTATACTAGATATGGAGGAATCCTTTTCTAACGTGGAACCCTGATGACTATGGGGGTTTACAAAGCATTAACGTTGATGCTAAGATAGTCTGGAAACCGGATATCGTCCTATATAACAAGTGAGTGCCCMTTCCCTACATCTAAACCCCTTTTCCTAGTGACAGCTTCAGTTGCTCGCCTTAGATTAAAGGAGACTTTACGCATGCGCTTACTTGCTATTTTCAGTGTACTGATYCCACATGGCTGGTTGATTGATAATATTCATGTTTTTTTTTCAGTATTGGTATCGGCCAGACTGGCGCAATGTATAAGTTTGATACCAAGATTGTCATAGACCATGATGGAACTAACTCGTGGTTCGCTCCAACACAGATCCAAAGCATTTGTAAAATCGACATCACTCACTTTCCGTTTGATGACCAGCATTGTAAGCTTGTCTTTGGRTCATGGACGTACACTGGTAACGCTGTTAACTTAGTACAGGCCCGCAACCAATCAGATCTCTCAAAGTACACTGTAAGCGGAGAATGGGACCTAATCTCAGCCCCAGTCAAACGCAACGTGGTGAAGTATGCTTGCTGTAAMGATCCGTTCATTGATGTCACATTTCACATCCATGTACGACGAAGGGTCTTGTTTTATTTAAGTAACTTGATTCTCCCGAGTATCATCTTGACGGTCCTTACAGTGTTCTCATTCTTCTTGCCCCCTGAATCTGGAGAGAGGATATCCCTGGTCATTACAATTCTTCTTGGTTTGACTGTCTTTATGCTGGTGTTTACAGAAAGTGTTCCTCACACGTCTGAAGTGATTCCACTGATTGCAAAATATACTTTTATTGTAATGTGTGAAGTGGGTGCTTCTCTTCTAGTCACGTGCTTTGTCTTGAGAACCTATCATAAAGGACACACTCAAGATGTCCCAGTTTGGATTCGTTACTTTTCTAAAGTCCTTGCGCCARTACTGCGTGTAAAACAAAACGATCAACGTGATTCGTCGACAAAACAAAGCCAAGAAACGTTTCACCCACGAAACTCAATCAGTAATGGAGCTTATATTTATGTSCCACAGAAAACCCCTCACMCAGCGTCTCCTTTGCTTTCCTTTGAACGCCGCCAAAGTGAAACTTGTACAAAAACAATCCAAAAAAGTGACGAAGTGTTTTGTTCTTGTCAGCAAACGCCTCCATTAAGGAGTATCACTGACGGGAAGTTGGAGGAACTGCATAADGAAGTACGCATTATAACTAGTCATTTCAAAGACGTTAATCGCCTGGAAAACAGAAAAGCTGAMTGGCATTTTGTAGCTACAGTTTTAGACTCAGCCTTTTTCTGGTTGTTTCTTGGTTCCATGGTCATATCAACTGTCGTATTTTATTTCCAGATTCCATACGCTGACAGACTTTGGTGATCAGAGACTATATAGCATCCTGAGCAGCCGATTCTTTGCGTRGTCRTACACAGCAGWTAGAGTTACTTGTCAGACAACTCAAAGGGCGGCTGCCAGGAGCGTAGTGACGATAMCACTATTTTGATATAAGAATATTGCATCCTAAAATTAAGAGTTTGTATCCACCTGTTTTTCAGTCTTTAAAGCAAAAGTGAAAAGGTCCCGTAATYAAYGCAAATTATAAAGACGATATAAAAGYGACAATCAYCGATAGAGAAACTTTCAGTGAATTGAGAAACACATCATGGTTGCCAAATACTCCATTAAATAGATTTAGCATACTCACCGTTACCCATACTTTGTCATATCTTTAAAGGCAAAAATTTATAGTCAATAAATGAAGACAAGGTTAATTTAGTTGGTTATATCTYATTTGTTAAGTAGTTTCTATTTGAAATATCCTGCGTTCTACGATTGCTTGCTTTCAWTTTCATTGCAACAACAGATGCACAATAGCCAAGAAACATTGAGTATGTATAACRAAACTAGAATTGTCAATATTACTTTCATTTTTCAACAAAAACGTTTATTAAAAGTATTACCAATGTTGTCATCACGAATAAAAACGAGGAAAAATGACTCGTGCTGGAGTATCTTTTTTGCTAAAAGAGGTTTTGATAAATCTGGGCCAYGTGTGATTTAGCGCATATATTAATATCATGAATACGCTGTGCATAATTTTATAGTATATTGTTCGGATTTAAATACAATAATGTAATTGATTTATTTATTTGGTTTTTCAAGGTTTTTCAAGCCTACGAGGGAAAATTTAGCAATGTTTAGTAATCAGATTACAAAGTTTATTAAAGAAAAGACTGAATTGGGAAACATTCGCGATAAATATGTTTTAGAGAAGTTGCAGCACTTGGAATGGACGACAGACAATAAATAAAGTAAACGAACAAACAAAAAGAGTTTTTCAAGTTAAGAGGATTTCCTCCWCAATCATGACATTTATTGTAAAGGTTTTTGTAAAATACATGTTGTTGTAATCTCTGGAACAGTTGGTTATTTACCAAAACAGGAGGACTCCAACCAGCTATTGTTTTAAATTCAATCGTGCATGCAAGCTTAGATTCTCAAAAGGGTTTTGCTGAATTTAGTGTAACGGTTACAGCAATATAAGTTAACCTTAGATCAACAAGTGGTTAAATGGAAACTCCAGATTGTGTTTACAACTAAAATAGATGTGTTGTGTACAAAACAGATATCCTATTATAGGTCTAATCACAGTTATGTCAAGAAAAGTATTTGTTTTACCAACTGGGAAAGAGCACAGGCTTCCAGCGATCGACTTACTAGAGAACGTTCATGATTATGAATCTGCAATAAAGTTATCTCATAACATGAGAGCCCTAAAACTGAATTAACTATAAAAACACAATTTGTGATTCCATAAAGGGAGAAACTCAACCCTTTTCAGTTTCAAGTGGACTTATTTCCATAAAACGCTATACGTGGGCGGCCTTCACTCATTTTGTTTTTTTTAAAACGTTTTCAAGAATTTGGTGTTTTTGTTGGTTTTCCAATCTCCAACCCTTCTTGTGCTTGTGGGTGCACTTTATGCCTTTAAACGTCACCTATATGACGAAAAATGGACAGTCACTACAATGATTACATATACCTGACATGACCGACATTTTATCGAAATAAATAAGTCATGAACGTATTTGCTGCAGTCCAATTAACTTTTATCATTTCAAAGGTCTGCCGCACTCCCTGCAGAGCTATAGAGTAATTCCTAGTTCAAAGGACAAAAATACGAGATTAGRGARAAAACTGTGCCTCGTCATGGCCTTCATCAAGAGCTGTAGTTTGATTATCATTCTTKKGYTGATGCCTTGTTATATTGATATGCTGTCTGCTAAAGGTACAAAGATATGTTATATAAAAACTGTAAATTATTTCAAGTAATGGCTCTTGCTGTGGACTAAATCACTAAGCTAGCTTCACTGCTCTGTAGATTTCTTTTTGATTTTCAGATCAGTTTTTCATCTGTAGATAGTCCGATRTTGTTAACAGCAATTCTTATCTAGAGCTTTGAGATTTCCTGGGTCTATCMCAATCAAACAGCCTTTTCAATATCGCTGAAACAGAAACAGAGCATTTTTAAAGATTTCCGTTTTGCAAAATCTCTTTTTTGTTCTTTTGACTCGTTAGCATCTAAATCGCTAAATCCGTTTAAAATGCGACTTATTCTAAGCTGCCTTCCGATCATGTGTTCCAGAATATCTGATCAAGTTAAACGCTTAGTGTGGTTTGGTTTACTGTAATTACTCATTTTCAAAGGAGAAGCATGTCTTCGATTATCAGACAAGATTGATGTATTCATATTTCGTTTGTAGTTAGCATTAATAGAATTGATATTTGTGGTTTTCTCACTRAAAGTTTKATCGTTTTTCCATTCAAATTTTATTTTTTTTGTRCATTTCTTGTGGGTTTTGCGTAGGTTTAGCACCTCAAACGTGACGAAACGATATTCTAAATCTATTTTTTAACTMGTCTTCAGACCGTAACATTATTTTAAATTGATATCAGCCCAAAGGGAATATTTAAATCTCTGCCTCAAGACAACAACTGTGAATTATGGCGTTGAACCACACACCAAGCTACAATGCTGACTCACTTATAGGTGAAATTGTCAAATGARCTCCAGTTTTGACGTATAGACTATAAGACAGCTAGAAAAAAAACCCATTAAACTAAGTAGGAATTGAAAGCGTCATTAAAGTAAAGCCACATGACCCGTGAAATATAGATATTCGACTAATACACCATTAGAAGTCTCTAATTCCTTTCTTTTCTTGGATATTTCATCTTGAGTATGATATTGTTTTTATGGTTTAATATATTAAGTATAGCATGCTTTCTTGTCGTGTCAGAAGAAACAGAAGCCCCGCATAAGCGCGACATTGAACACAAACTTCTCCACGATTTGTTCCTGACGCAATATTCCAAGGAAGCAAGACCAGTTTTGAACAAAAGTGATGTTGTGGAAGTTAAATTTGAYCTGGCCTACGCACAGCTTATTAATCTGGTAAGACTGCTGCACGCCATAAGGCTGAATCAATAGAAAGGAATCTAGGCACATTTTCTAATATTTGCGTCAATAAAAATGTTTTAGAACGTTTCTTCTAGAACGAATGATCATAATAACGTTCTATATAAACTTAAATTCTGATGAAAGTTACTTTCCCAGTTATTAGTAGAACATTGAAGTCATCAATTTGATTAATGTATATTGCGTTTGTTGATTGTATTTAAGCTTTGTTCGCGTTTAAGATTGAAGCCATCCCGTCCATAAAACGTTCTAATATAAAAAGAAGTCAAAACAAAAGCATACATATAACAACTGATATATGTTGATCATTATTCCTTCATTTCTGTTTTAATAGTAATTATGATAATAGATTATGGATTAGTCCAAATTTTTACAAATTTACAAATTTTATTCAGAGATCCAAAAGTACTAGTTTACTGGGTTCTCACTATTGTCTTTCTAGTTTTACAATCCATAGTAAAGCAATCCTCGCGCTTCTTTGTGTTCGCTGCTTGATATTTTAGTTCCAGTAATTTCCCGCCCTWRTTTTGTCATTTGTACGCGCGTAAAAAGTAAAACCGCGCGAACATAATTTTTTTCAAGATTTAGATTTCGTTGAAAAGCTTCCTGATTAAATCATTTAAGTCGGCGTTTTTTATTTTGTAAATTTGGTATTTAAAATTTCTTTTTGTATATCATAATTTGTTAATCCAATAAATATAATTAGTTTCTTGTTGTGAGCGAAGCGTACAGAGTAGAAAGGGACCAGCATAACATTTCATTAAAGTTATTCATTTGTAAACTGATTTGTTGAACAGTTATGCTTTTTCTCTACAGAACAGCAAACACCAGATTCTACAAAGTAAAGTATGGCTACGACAGGTAATACCTTAGATAACTATGATGATAAATAGGCGCCGTTCGGCGGACACCACATGCTGAGAAGACATCCATTACATGACGCCTCATACTGTACGACAATGAAAACATTTATGCTATTTAAGTGACTTTAGTAGTTACATTCCTTTACATTGTGTTATAATTATAAGATTGGTTTAAGTCTAGAGGCTTTGATTTTTATTTGTTAATCTCACTGCCATCCTTAAAAAACTCTACCAGCTCCTTATGTATGATGATGATGATGATGATGATGATATTGTAATGATGTTTTTACCTACAGATGTGGGTTAACCCCTTTCTAACATGGGACCCAAAGAAATACGGTGGTATAGAGTCTATTAATGTCGACCCAACTTTGATATGGAAACCTGACATCATTCTATACAACAAGTATGTTGATAATGATTTCTTGAATGAATGACTAACGGTTGATTAATTGATTAATTAATTGATTGATTGATTAATTGACTGATTGACTGACTGACTGATTGAATGATTGGTTGATGATTGATTGATTGATGATTGATTGATTGATTGATTGATTGGGGATTGATTGATTGATTGATTGATTGATGATTCATTGATTAATTGATTGATTGATTGATTGATTGATTGATATTGATTGATTAATTGATTGATTGATTGATTGATGATTGATTGATTGATTGATTGATTGATTGGCTGATTGATTGATTGATTGATTGATTGATTGATTGATTGTGCTATCTTACAGCATCGGGTTTGGAGAGACAGGAGCCATCTACAAATTTGACACAAAAGCAAAAATCATGCACAATGGCTACACTGAATGGTACGCGCCGACTGAAATCCACAGCATCTGTAAAATAGATATCACATTCTTCCCTTTTGACGAGCAATTCTGCACTTTAAAGTTTGGTTCATGGACTTACACAGGATCTCAATTGAATTTCACCAATAAACGAGATACCGCTGACATGACAAAGTACACGATCAGTGGGGAATGGGACCTAGTTGCAGCTCCAAATAAACGAAATGTTATCATGTACAGTTGTTGTCCTGATCCTTTCATCGACATCACTTTCACAATTCACATYAGACGTAAAGTACTCTTTTATATGACAAACTTGATTGTACCCTGCATTGTATTAGCAATGCTGACTGTTTTCTCCTTTCACCTACCCCCTGAGTCAGGCGAGMGAATGGGTCTTGTCATCACCATCCTGCTTGGTTTAACTGTCTTCATGCTAGTATTCACCGAGAATGTACCGAGGACATCAGAAGTAATACCACTGATCGGGAAGTACGCCTTTACTGTTCTGTGTATCGTAGCTTTGTCTCTTCTTGTCACGTGCTGCATACTACGAGTTTACCACAAGGATCCCGACCGAAAAATGCCGACTGCTTTCCGAAAACTCATCTTCGACATACTCGGCCCCATGCTCCTTATGCGCCCGCCCGAGGAAGAATCCTTTGCGATGAGATCAGAAAAAGGAAGGACACTTCTACACCTGACCAAAGCACGTGGTACACCATACGAGCTGCATCATCTCAACCATCATTTGAGTAACTTYCCTCTTGGTGGTCTTGATAAACTAACTGTGAGATTAGACCAGCCTAGTACACCTACAACACCAGTTCCTAATGGCAATGCTTTTAGCTCTGTATCTTCAAGCATGTCACAAGACGTCACAGAGGAAAAGCTTGATGAGTTGAACCACTATGTTCGTACGATTGTCGATCACATCAAAGAATCCAAAGATACCGARGGCAAGGTTGGAGAATGGAGATTTGCTGCGGCAGTTTTAGACTGTTTCTTCTTCTGGGTTACTTTGATCATTATTCTTGGATCGACRTTGGCTTTYTACTTCATGATCCCTTACTAAGTCTGTACAGAAAAGCAAGATCAAAAAGACTTATCTCAGTTTTGTATGGACACTCGTTAGTTTTGCTAATGACTAAGCAGTTCTAAAAGAAATCGGGTCGAGACAAGAATTGGTGGTGTTTTTACAGCTTAATGTATGATGGCTTTAATTTTATAGCTAAACAATCAATATCGGTTAATAGTACAGTTTTATAATGAATGGTGAATACGTATTTATAGTCAGTGTAAAACTATAAGGGTATACTATATAGGAACGATGATGGCTTTAATTTTATAGCTAAACAGTCAATATCAGTTAATAGTACAGTTTTATAATGACGGTGAATATGTATTTATAGTCAATGTAATACTATATGGGTTTACTATATTATTTTATATCGACTCACAGCAATTTTGTACATAGTGGTAAACATCACATCATGTAATATTTGGTTCATTTTATAGTTTGATTCAGTGTTTCAGGGGGGTGCATGATGTGCGCATATCTCCCGCAATGTCTTTTGTTGGTTTCTTTGATCTACATCCYAGCATGCACTGCAACAMAGCTTTAAGTAAATCTTAAGAATAATCAATAAAGATCTGCTTAATTATGCGTTTTAAGAATGTCTAGTCGTTTTACAKTTCTATTAASGATTCAGGCGAAACAGTCCCATCAAAATCTCCYTCATTGTTCCCTGTTGTGAATGGAAGCTGCCTAGAGTCACGTGACCCAATCATCCTAATTTCCTTATATGATTGGATAGCCATGACTATATTATGGACTGCTTGTCAGCGAAAATTAAGCCTACGTTTTAGACCGCTGTCCCTATTATYTACAGTCGCAACTCCATATAACTCAATTATGATACTTAAACGTGAATAACAAATTCTCATTTAAGAGAGGTAATCCATAATATTCAAATCTTTGTTTAAATTGATTATTGTAAAAGTTTGTCCTTTAGTCACTTCGATAATCATGGCAATTTCGTTAGTATACGTGTATATAATATGATACTAGGCCCGCTCCCCCCTGTCAKGCTATCCCTTAGAAACCGTGTGGGCAAAGTATTCTGTAACTACGGCAATCCTAGTATAAAATTCAAAGGTGTCGTGCCCTTACTCAACATGGGATTCTTCATGAAGGCAAAAACTGCAATAATAAACGGAAAGTTTACCGGATTTCTATATAGTAAAAAAAGGAATATTCATGTTGTACAGTCAGCATTCTTGCAGCATTCCTAGTGTGATATTCATGGATATATGTCATAACCTGCTAACATGGAATTCTTTATAGGAATAAAAGAAATAATCATAATACTTTATCATACCATTTAGACATAGCAAAGATCTTGTAACATGTAAAGTCGTGTCAAAAGCACTTTCCCAGTCAACCTTGAATRTGGCGCCATATCCTACTCTGACAACGCGGAATTCTTCACGAAGGAATAAAGGTAAAATTGATTATTTRTTTTACAGGAGTTGCCCCTAGTAATATTCTCTATATCGACAGCTCGTATTCTTGCAACATTCYCAGTGTGAAAATGGCGGCGTGCCATAACCTCCAATATGGRATTCTTCATGAAGACATAAAAATAATAACAATGATATTTTACCATACCATTCAGACATAGCAAAGATCTTGTATAGAATAATAGTGGATAAGGTTTAATCGTGTGGAAAGCACTTTTCACAGTCAACCTTGACATAACTGACCAAGCCCAAACTATCCACTTTCACATTTACCCAAAACACCCAAGGCTGTGGTCATATCAATTTGTACAAGTTTAGCTATCTAACCATTGTTACAAATGTGGTTACGATAAACATTTATTTGATTACTTCAAGAAAACAACTGTGTAATTCAGAAAAAAAGGGAAAAAAGAATATCTTGACATTAAGGAATACTCCAGAAATAGACTGCAGTGAGGAGTACATACCAACTACTAACAGAACGCATTTTAGCATCAAGCCATGACATGTTTTTATAGTGATAACACCTTAATATCTCAGTATTCAATCTGTGGTTTATTATTAGTCAATTTTCAGGTTTTTCTCAGCAAATAAAGAGAAAGAAACCTTATTAAGGTAGACGGATCCCGCCACGCTGAATTGGCTTCGTGCCGCTTGAATTGTCCCCATGAATGCATCGCTCCACGCCATTAGTAGTCAAACTGAAATTCCATAGCCAAAATCAATGGGTAAAACAAAAGCTTAATGGTGAAGGATCTGCCCTTTGTCCTTTAATAAAAGCAAGCTGTCAGAAAGGTTTGGCGCTAATATCCCTAGTGCGAAGTTATAAGAAAGATTTGATCGTTGTAAGTCACGACGAAAACACCACTGATGTTCTGCGCACTGTAACTGAAGTGTTGGTGAAAGGAAAATGATGCTTGTACAATTTTCTCTTTGTTTTTGTATTTTGACTTGGTACGCAGCCCAGGGAGAGCAAGGTAAGAAGTGATTTTTAAACTAGTAATTTATAATTCTTGTTCTAACACACTGGGAGTCAACAGTGTTTAATTTCAAGTTCTCCTTACAAGCGGAACCCTGATCGTTTTGACAAACCAAGAAAACGATTCTTAAAGAGATTAATAAACCTCATATTACTAACAGCATTATGGTCGTGTACTTATGAATATATAAGCATAGAACAGTACTTTATCCAGAATATTAACAAACAAGATATGGACAAATACCTAGAAAAATTAGATATCTTTAAACTTTTCAATGGCGGATGTTGTTTTTTGACAAAATCAGTTCGTTTATCATATAATAYGTATACATTTGAAATGACAGAATTGTTCATTTYTTATTGCTTAAACTCCTGCCGAGTCTCTTGATTGCGCTGGTTTAATTTGTACATATTTTCATTACCTTTGTATCAAAATGTCTATACATTGAAATACCTAAGTTATAACAAAACTGCGCCGTACCTTCATAACTGTCTGGTTAAAAGAAAGATATTGTGTCTATTTTATGCCTTTTTCTTGCCGACTCCAGTGCATTACATCATATACTATCGGGTTCCACATCAGCCTTATTAACAGCAAACGGTGAATATTTCCCTACAAAATACGTCAATCTAATGTTATCAAAAACATTCGATTTTCTCGATTTGCGCACAAGCTTGGTGTTCGCTTAACATCCATCCCGAGAAAGTCAGTGTTAGTAAAAATGATTACTTACGTCACCAAAACACCCTACATCGATCAAGTCTTGCGTTTTGTTGTTCTGATTGTTGTTGTTATTTTGCTACAATCGTTGCAAATCTACTTTATTGTGAACGATAAGAGTTAAACGCTGTTTTGTAATGTTAAGTAATGGTTCTAACGAAGTTTTCATCCATAATATATATGTTTCCAGTTGATAGAACTACGCGATCACGGTTTGATCAGCCATTTTAATGAACATCACACTGCTGGATCAAAATAGACCGCTTTGACAAAGGTCGTTTTAATGAATACTTTCTCTTTTTCTAAAGCAAAAATCGCCTCTAGCTTTACGAGCAAGATACACTGGTTATGTTARATTAAAGGCGGCTCCATTGTAATATAAACCTGTGCAAGGTTATATATCCTTCAGAGTTTTGTACAATAGTTAACTATGATTGTACAATACATTACACAATGCATATATTATAACATTCATCATTGGTTGATCTACTCTTCACAACTGAATTTTCTTTTTCATCCCTAATACAAATTGTGTATTTCAATGCCACAAAGGTCGATAGAAAAATATACCCATTCACACATTAGAAACGCTCTGAAAAAAGGCCGTGCAACTRTACTCACTTTTGAGAACATTAACGAAAATTATTCAGCTCAGTTGAATATAATCGTAGATAAAGTTTGTACCGGAATAAATATAGGACAAAATATGATTTAAAAAACATAATCTGGACGTGCAATTATTCAAGGTAGAAGAAGAGGACACCGACATTCACCGCGAAAAGTTGAGGTTATATATTTTTTTTAATCAAAACGAGACGGAATCGTCAGTAACAATTAAAATAGCTTGGTGGCCATYTTGTCAAGTATAATTTGAATTGTAAGCAGATTTGGTTTATTTTTCAGATGTTCGCTACAAAGATCATGAGTATCGTCTTATCAGATATCTCTTTGCCAACTACAGCAGCGAAGTACGGCCTGTTCTCGAGCACAGCGAGCCCGTCGGAGTTAAATTTGATCTTGCTTATAGTCAACTAGTCACATTGGTAAGGACATTGTTGGAATCCCTGTGTTTTATACTTTTGGATTGTTTTTTTAAATAAACCTTATTGGTTGTTTGTTATTGCAGAACGCTAAAAGTCAGATTCTGACCAGTAAAATATGGGTAAGACAGGTAAGCTTTTGGGTTCCCTGTGTTTAAATCGAACGAGTAAACGAACCTCTTGCACAGTGCATTGGAGAAATGTTGTTCTCCTTCTGAACCCTTTCTTTATCGGGCTTCCTGTCCCTTACGGACAGGAAGCCCAATAAACGAGACAATGCCTGAAATCTTATCAGTTACCTGTTATTTTTCAGTTTTGGTCCAATCCATTCTTGAGATGGAATTCCACAAAATTCGGCGGAGTTACCTTTATCAACATTAGTCCAAAACTGGTTTGGAAGCCGGACATAGTCATGTACAACAGGTTTGTATACATCATGTACTTGTAATAGTTTTTTTGTTATTTTGTCTTATGGAGCTCTATACTATGCAACTYTCGCTATATTACCTAATAAACTAACAGATTAGCTTTCTGCTCYAAAAAASCATATCATCAAACGTTTTGTGTTACGAGTAGATTGCGTACATTGTTTAAACTAGTTTTATACTTCAGCAATGTTCACTAAAGGTWTGGSTGTGGTTTGTATATTGCAGCATTCAAGGTGACGGAGGCGAGATGTATAATTTCTTGACCAAAGTCCAACTGTTCAGTGACGGTACCATTCAATGGTTTGCTCCAACAGAAGTCAAATCGATCTGTAAAATAGATATAACCTACTTTCCTTTTGATACACAAGTATGTACCATGGTGTTTGGCTCCTGGACTTTTACTGGCTCCTTCCTAAACCTAAGCCTTATACGAGATACCGCAGACCTATCAGGGTATACTGAGAGTGGTGAATGGGACCTCTTAGAGGCTAAAGCYAAACGTAACGTAGTCAAGTACAGCTGCTGTCCAGACCCGTACATTGATATAACCTATACCTTTGTCATCAGGAGAAAGCTCTTGTTTTACATCAATAACCTTATTTTTCCCATCGTCGCCCTGGCGGTTCTGGGTATTTTTGGGTATTTCCTACCACCGGAGTCTGGAGAGAGGATTTCATTGCTTATCACTATAATGCTTGGCTTGAGTGTGTACACATTGATTTTTACTGAGAATATCCCTGCGACGTCAGAGGTAACACCACTCTTGTCACGTTACTCCACGGCGATCATGGTGGAATTAGGTAAGTGTTGGAAAAAATGATGATGAATATACATGATAATGATTATTACGATGACTAATGTAAACGATGATTGTTATTTGATAGGTATATCGTTGGTGTTGAGCTGTCTTGTTGTTGGTATTTATCAYGGYGACTGTGCCAAAGACATGCCACGATGGTTCGAGGCTCTCATCTTCAACGTCTGTGGTAAAGTATTTCGCATGAAATACCCACCCAAGAATGACAGCAACCAAAACGAGACCCGTCCTCAAGAGAAATCAAATGGCTTAATCAATAGCGATCGCACACCAATCTACTTCCCATTGCAGAAGCAAGATTCCCCTGGCCAGGAAGGAGTTAATCTTATCAGTGGTGATAGTGTTCCMGGTTCCTCCTCACTTACCAGGAAACTTGATGAAATGATCACCAAAYTGGACAAAGTTCTTGACAGCAATAATGARAACCAAACCGAAGACGAACGTGCAAGGAAGTGGCACTTTGCAGCTCACGTTGTTGACAAGATTGTCTTCTGGATTTACTCTATGACCGTGTTGTTTTCAACCATTGCTTTGTACCTGATGATTCCGTATGATATAACATCGCTTTCAAAAGACTAAGGACATCATGCAAGGKTRTCGCTGCCTGGTGATCACAAAGGACTAATTTTGATACAAGCAAAKACTTCTCTACTTCTGTTGGCTCTACTTGAMCACAGGGAAACAATTGCAAATGTTAGCTTTGCTCTGCAATATTTTTGTTAGCAAGCTAAACTTTTAAAGAGAAACGCTCTAAGTTAATCGAAGAAATTATCTTAAATTTGATATCAATGCCGGAGGTGAATACCAAACAATAACCAGGAAAGGATAACTGGCCAAAAAATGTGACAACTATGTTTACCAGTAAACTTAAACTGGACAAGTCACTTTTCTTCCAATACCAGCAATACCGATATATTTTCTCTGGTCTAACTATCAGCAGTTTAAGGTATTGCCCAAAGTCCTATGAAACAATTCTGGTATTTACATAACATGAAGTATAATATATTCTACACAATGGTTATTAATCCAGCCAAACAGTTTGATTCCAGGATCCTGATCCAGAGATCATGAAACCACATGACCTGATATTTCTGGATAATCAAGAACRGTTGATCCCTTGATATGTATTTTTCAATAGTTTCAAGTTAACAATAAAGCCGTGAATATTTGATAATAAATGTTGCCACATAAAGCGCTGAGCCTAAAGCAAATGAAAGTTTGTTTCTGTATAGATGCTTTTGAATGTTCTGAAAATGTGAGCATAGTTCTAGCACACCTTTCTAGATACAAGCTACGTTCTGGTAAATATCATCAACTTGACCTATTGAGTTTTATAGCTAACAAAATCTGTTTGTTTTGAACAATGGCTTGTCTGTTTGTTTCCAGCAAATTTTGAAGTGTTTGTAGGGCCACACACAAAATTGACGCGAGGCCGGGCAAAAAAACCCGCAACCTGACCCTTCAAAGCATGTATTACGTAACAAGACAAATTATTTGCATATAATATGTTTAACATATTTACTTAGCAAGAGTCAAATGGTTACAACAGGAAGATTAGTTTTCACTGACGATGAATAACGATAATGGTAGTCACGGTTTGCCTACAGAGCCGAGTAGCAGGAGTTGACGACCYCCCCTTGATCAAACTATAGGGAGCTTTACTCTTGAATTGGGAAGACGTGATGGAATTATATCGAAGAAACTAAATTCACGTTGCAAATTGTATAAGTCGTTATTTACTGGTATGAAAGCTTGAACAGTTCGTTTTGCCACACCCCTCCCACGTTTCAATGAAAACTGATTTAGTTAGATTTCTAAGAAAAAAAGTAGTTTTCCTTAATCAAAACTCCTGTATTCTACTGAAATTTATTTCACTGCACTTGATATTAATACTCTGTTTRTCGAMAATTAWTTGCGCTGTTCCAAAGCACAAGGTACGATATAACGCCAATAGGGTGCGGTCTCAGACCACATTCAAGATAAGGGCGTTGGCACGATTTCCATCGTAACCAAATCCATCRTATAATTCAATGCATTGTTACTTGTCAAGTGGTTATATAGTGTTGTAATCAGTATTCGGTGATAGGTGAACTGACAGCTTAATAAGTACCACGCCAACCTTCTTCATATCTCAGCCATCGCGGTATCGTTTGATGTACAATAAGCCTTCAGGATACCAGATTTCTGGGTCGAAGTTCACATTTCAATCTATTTCAATCAGATATCTGTAGATCGAGACAAGAGGATCTGCCATTGGAATTTTCGTGTTGTACCTTTACATTACAAAATAGAAAATAAAATAAAACGGTCTTCAACAATAAACTKCCTCTGATTCTCCTTTTAAATGCTGTTTTAGMGTTGCGCACATAACGTTTTCCAACAGAAACTTCCTTTCTAAAATATAAACCGAGCACAAAGCGTGCTTCGTGGTAACTTGTTCGATTCAAAAGGTTACTGCGGCAGACATACACATAGACCATGAAAACAATAAAACAAGACGCGCGACCTTCATTAAGATACGTAGTCGACCCGTGGCCTTACAATATTGAACTTCAAAGGGTTGTCTCTTTCCTTATGCACGAACAATGCATTGCAGAGATTTGTTGTACAACAGTGTTTGTCTACGAGATCTCGACATAGCAGTTTACTATAGAACTGAATTTGAAGTCTTCTCCATTGATGCCACAGCTGCAACAGTGAAGATCCAAAACTGAACAAATATCTCAATACGGTAAGCTAATGAACGATGATTTCATGAGAAATTGATTCAATTCTAAACCCAATATTGTGGATAGCAACACATTTTTTACCCGGTTCATAAGTAATCGCTATGCAATAGTAGAAACAATACTYAAGCTCTTCCTAAAGCTCAACAGTAAGAACATACAAAATATGGAAAACTCAACATTGCTTCAGTCGGTTTTTAATGAATACAACCAGTGTCTGAGCATATCTACATGGTTCATGTTTGTAGAAAACTGTTATTTCTTAGTTTACCAGGTAAACATGATAATAGTTATACATGATATGATCTTAGTAAAGGTATAGCCGGTAGCATTGTGTTTAATTGCTAAAACAACAGACGCATCCATAAAAATAGACCACTTTATAACATTACAAACCCAATTTATCTTCATACCTGTCAAATGCACTTGGCTAGCGAGCTAAGTTATACTCCAAAGTGCTCTAGAATTCACTGCACAGGCTTAGGTTCTAAAAAGACTAAATATAAAGAAGGAATGATAATTAAATCCTAGAAGAGCTTGAAAAGTAATGTATTCCTATTAAGATTCTCCAGACCTTGACTGTCTGGGGCACGCGGCCAATAAAATTTCGACGCGATGCTGCAGAAAACCAACTTTTTTTCTTGGATTACGATGTACAAGGTATAACAAACTTTGAACAGAATGCATGATCCTGAATTGTGTTAACAAATAATTCAATAAGTTATGCACAATCAGAATGAGGCACATGGAGATTAATGAAATTATTCCAATAGAAAATATAAAGAAAAAATCTCGGTTAGTGAGAATTCTAGCTAGGGTGGGTATGCATAGGGATATCGATATCCTTCACTAAATCAAAGGATATAGAAAGAGTTCTTCCACATGCACCTTAAAATAAAATTATAACGAAATAATCTTTGCAGAGAGAATTCTAGCTAGGATGTATAGAGCTATGAGCATCCTTCACTAAAATCAATGTATATGAAAGGGCTTTTCCACTTGTACATTGAATAGAAATTACAACGAAATAATCTATGTAGAGAGAATTCAGCTAGGATGTGTACATAGAGCTATGGACATCCTTCACCAAATCAATGGACATGAAAGGGTTATTACAAATGCACCTTGAATAGAAATTRAAACAAAATAATCTTTGTAGAGAAAATTGTAGGTACTGGGATGTGTAAATAGAGCTATGGAAATCCTTCACTAAATCAATGGACATGAAAGGTTTCTTCCACATGCACCATGAAAAGAAACTATAAAGAAAGCTAGCTAGAGTGTTTACATAGAGCTATGGAAATCCTTTACTAAATCAATGGGCATGAAAGGTTTCTTCCACATGCACCATGAAAAGAAACTATAAAGAAAGCTAGCTAGAGTGTTTACATAGAGCTATGGAAATCCTTTACTAAATCAATGGACATGAAAGGTTTCTTCCACATGCACCATGAAAAGAAACTATAAAGAAAGCTAGCTAGCAAGCTAGAGTGTTTACATAGAGTAATGGACATCCTTCACTAAAATAAAAAAAAATGGAAGTGATGATACCATCATGAACATCACATAACTTTACGAAGACAGGTTTTTCCTTAGGTTAATGTTTCGGATTTCTCTATTTTTATCATTCAAGACAAGCTCTACAATGATTGCAGAGTACAATCAGAGCTGTAAAAGAAAATAAACAGCTACCTGAGAGAGATATTGTATATTTTTATATTCCAAGTAAACCATTTTAATCAACATACAACTTCCATGGCTTGTAGGTTCAATTTGTATCTTGCGCTTTTCTTTCGTATTTCTCTAACTTTACAAGACTTTACCATTGTAGTGGCCAATCTCTACAGGGTAGTGGGATATAATGGAGAGCGAATTGATATATCGCTACTTTCAAAGATGATCACTGTGAAACGTTCATGTATAGGTTCAGGTTGTATCTTGCGTTGCTATTTCGTACATCTCCGAATTTACCATTCTAGCTTAGCTCCACAGTAATCGCAGATTATCAATCTGATCTRCAGTGAAAACAAACACTAAATTTTAAAAGAAATTCTTGCATCTTTTAATAACACTAATCAACGTACACTAGATGAAGTGAATGGCAGTTGTCGGTGCTTGTTCTTTCCATAAAAAAAGTCATTTTATTAATAAAATGTTTCCACAAGCAAAATGTTTTCCTCAAAGATACGAGAGATAACCTTAGTAGAGTAAAAAGGAAACAGAGAATTATCCTTAGAGAGATTAAGACATGGTGCTCTCGGATCAAACAATAATTTTATGCTGAAAAACACCATCATCCTCTATACACTACAATACGAATAATACTATAATATCACCGTGTCTGTCTTTATTCAATAATTAGCCTTGTTATCTAGTGTATATTTAAAGCCAGTTTGTCCATCCAAGAATTTGTCATCAATAATCCATCATTGTTGGAGGGTGCAAACATTTCTWATTAGCCATGGATTGAAAAGAGCAGCCATGATGCTTCAAGTGCCTACGAATAGTTTATTGTGTTCAGYTAAAGGACATTTCAGATTCAAAAACGTGCGTACAGCAAAGTACTTTTATTGGTAATGATTTTTGAAAGCCTATATAGGGCCAGTTGTGCGCGAAAGATAAATAAATACTTATCTTGCGAAAAAACTCAATACAAAATTGAATCAATGGAGTAGATATCTTTCTCCGCCCTTCGCGTGCAATCAGTGTCCTATGCTGACTTTATATGTACAGTAATGAGATATCTAGTGTGCAAGAGACCCTTCTAACACTGTCTTCAAGCTCTCTCAGTCCAGCATGGTTATAACGTTCTCATTCAGTGATGTATATACACGAAGTAGAGTTAGTGCACTAAAACTTCATAAGACTGAATTTAAGTTGATAGCTGCTCAAACAGCATCTTATTAATTTGATTAGTTTTTGAAATCAGGTGTTTCTATGATTAGATTAATTGTAGCAATAGACTGGAATTCCCGCTTAATTGTCCCGGTTAAGTATGATGTTACTAAACTCAACTGAGATCAATATTTCACGGTGTGATATGGTAACTGCTATTATTTCTASAAAAAAAACATTCTACAACCATTTTATACGAAATATACTAGACAATAAGAGAAGAAACATTTCAGAAAGATCATAAACAACACAATATGACTGAATAACATTCTTTTCCAATGTTTGAAATAAGATTATTAATATAGCAAATGTGGCCAGATATTGTTTTCGCTGTTATATAGCATCATCAGGACTTTAAAATAAGATATTTCTATTAAGTTATTTCTAGTTTCCTAAAGAATTGATGTTCTTTTTGATTGTACATTATCAAGAAAAATATGTCGTTTACGAATAATCAATTTAATCATTCTCTATTTGTGTTCCTAGTTGCTAAACAAGGTCATATTTCCAGAACGAAATGCTCTAGGATGATATCTTACTCTCTTTACATACTATACATGGCTTTGATCTGGACAGTCCCAGGATTCCTG